ATTGTCAAATGCGCTTAGGTCTAAATTAAAATTCTAAAAATGATTTACTTTTATTATTTGATATCTTAATAGGTTACTTTAACTTTTTCAAAGATATGTTATTACTATAAATGTAATCACAATTGTAAGAAGCATTTGTTTAGGTAAAAGATTAAACAAGAACCTTGGTTTCTAGAGTGGTATGGGAGGCTGAGAAGGGAGAACAGATCCTTCCCAATATGTTCATACATTTATCTTTTGTTCTTTATAGTGTTAAAAGACTGTGGAGAATATGCAACATGCCCAGTAGAAGGCAGCAATCCTGACAAAAATGAAATATGTCAAAGCTTTTACTTGTTCCCTCTCCTAGAGATAGAAAAATTCACCTCCTGGGCCATTGATGTAGAGGTGCAAAGCTCTGCTGGTTTCACAGCTTTTGGGGAAGCCCAACAGACAGTGCCCTACGATTTTCTTCCCACCAAGGCTCTGGTGTGAGCCCATAATATTTGCAGGACTGACACAAACTGCARAGTGGCCAGGAATCCTCTTACCCAGCACAGTCAGAGTTGCATTTGCAGAAATGCTTCCTGCACTGTTCTGAGCTGTGCAGCTGTACACCCCAATGTCCTCTATCTTCACRTCTACGATGAAGAACACGTCGTCCTCGGGCATCACGTGCATGTGTCTCTCCCTTGCGGCAGGAAAGTCAGTACCTCCGTCCTTCTGCCAGGCTATCTGAGGAGTGGGGTGTCCCACGGCTGYGCACTCCAAGCGTGCCATGGCCCCGGCTCGGATGGTGAGGTCCATGGGGGTTTTGGTGAATGAGGGAAGCACTGAAATCAAAAGGCAGCRCAGGCATGAGTGTCAGGGCCTTGGGAAGGTCTGCCTGCATCCACCCCGATTCCTTCGTATTCCAAATGCCCCTGACAAAGGTAGGAAAGGCTTAGTGCTGACTTCAGGACAGGGAAACTGAGACAGATGCAGTAACCTGCTCAGGATKACACAGGGATAGAAGTGAGGGAGTCAGGATGAAAGACAGGTCATGTGATCCTCAAAGTGAAGGGCTCCCTGCTRTAATTCTGGCCACTTTTAGTTTAATCAATAACTAAGATCTTCAGCAAGTCAAYTGATCTCTTTCTACTATGACTATTCATTTCATCTAGTTTTTTAAATTTTTTCTTAAGTCAATCTTAGAGGCCCTAACATTTTAAGACTTTAGATATGTTCTATACTATGATTTTAATTCAAAATATTMTATGTGCCAGGCCTCAATAATTATTTGTTGAATGAACGTGTTAATGAATCACACAAAAAGCTTCTGTCATGCAGATACTAAARGTTAAATGATAAAGTGGTAAGGGTCCTCTTATAAAACTATGCCTGGGGTTGGGGTTGTGGCTCAGCGGTAGAGAACTTGCCTAGCATATGTGAGGCACTGGGTT